AAATTGGTAGATTGGGAATGGATGTAATTTATAAAATCCCACGAATGAAAAGGTTTCTTATTGGTGAGCAATTAATTTATTTTGATATTGCTTACTATTTTTATTAATAAATGCAAGATTTTAAAAGATGCCCGTAGGAGAGGAGAAAGTTTTATGAAATTATTGATACCTATTGACGGTGTGACTGCAAAAACCTTTAAATTGATTGTTGAATGGTTATCTCATCGGTGTTATTGTTCTGGCAAATGTTATTATGAGAAACAAACATATTGCCAAATCATGGAAAATTTCCTACATAGGAACCGTGGCAAACTATTTAGGTTATTTTTGGCTGCAGACTATCTTGAACTAGAGAAATTAAAACTCGTCATATTCCTTATTTTCCTGAAAGAGTCAAAAAATATCAGTCTGAAAGAATTTTGTCATGAGTTCTGTTCATAAAATATTGGATGTTATCTGGTTTTATTCTTTATATTATTATGCATTTATGCAAATATATTTTGTTAAAATATGAGTCTTCTTATAATTGATAATAGGTGCTGTAAGTTACTCTCGATTGATCTATCATTGTATATATTCGTTCTTGATAGGTGCACTTTCGTCACTGGTTGCCTTATAAAAAATGCCTTAGCTTATCAGTGAATGTTTCTAGGTTAGTAAATTGTAATGTTTTTACTTAACTTGTTGTTTAAGAAGGAATATACCACCTTAAAATGTCGAGTCAAGGATCAAGGTGTAACTAAGCGCATGTTAAGCAGAATTCCATGTTACTATTTTGCCTAATTTCTTAAACCTTTCTACATTTCGTTGGCTTATCTTGGACATTCTAAGCGATCACTGGATTGACCTTAAATTGTACTCCTATAGTGGTCAATGTGCATGCTTACAAAATTTCCAAAGAAATCAATGCCTTTAAAGTTGCATGGTTCTCATCTTTGCATAGTGGAATTTTTAATAACGGAAATCTGGCCAGTTCACTTATATTTCATTTAGTAGAGACCCTTACAAAATGCAGCCATTTGGAGAGAAGAAACAGTAATGATTGTAAAAAATTGACCAGACTTAAAAAAATTAACTAGGATATGTACGTTTGTCAAAAATGCAGTTAGTTCAAGTGACCTTATAAGTCAGGACTTGCGCAAAGTGTATTAGATGATTTGAAACTGTATTTGTGGTTTTTTCAATTGTGCTATACTGATAAATTAGAAATGGCTTCCAGAAATAGGAACATATATTAATAATAATTAGAGTAATCTGCATTGCTCATGAAAAATGCTTTACGACGCTTCAATGATTAACAAAGTTGATAAACGGGCAAAATATAGTAAAATACACACTCAATGCACAATCAATTGGAAAACAATAGGAAAATGTCGAGAGTTCGAGCCTCTCCAGGGGCACGCTTTTGGTCG